GCGGGAATGAGGTCGGAAAACGGTCTGGATAAGGCACAATAAGGGGCCGGAGAGTTAGTCGCGGTCGCCCTCCGCCCCTCGCTAGGCTGACTACGAAATCTAATTGCCGTTCACCACTTTCGCATTGGAGCGAAGTTGGTGAAAAATCGATAAGCTCGTTGGCCAGAGGCTGCAAGTCAGATTGCCAGGCGAATTGGATGTGTTGTCTGCTANACCTTAGTCCTGAGAACAGATGAACCCATGAGGGAAACTGGCAAAGGTATTTTGATCACATGAGAATTACGTAACGTGNTGCAGACATTGCGTCGCCTTCGTGCACTTTCCCGACACTCCCTTAACCGCCGTTCTTTCAATGTGAAACTCGTCCAACCCCCCTTTCCAGCTCTCTTTTGACCCTTTCTATTTCTTTTTGTTCATCGTTTTTTGCGATTTTTTCGTTGTTATCGCTTTATTCTAGAGTAGTTCTATCAATTCCCGTCCAAAAAGGGTACCCTGAATTTATCGTAAACGGTGCCTTTAAGGGAGCACCCACGCAGTTCGGCTGCTTTGTAGCGTAGCATATCTTAAGCTACCTGATTGTTGACTATAGGAATACTTACTGTAACGATGCAGGTGTAGCTGAGCGCAAATCGCAAATTGTTGTTCTCTACGATACAGCAGCTACAGCTGACCATAGTTTTCCCAATTTTGCAGACAAGCGACTTTCATATGGAAAGCAGTCCCGGTGCTAGGAGATGTAAAGGGAATCAATTATCATAAAAGCTCGAAACGAAACAATTCGAATCTATTTATCAAATGTTTATTCGCAATTTAAGACGCTTATTAACTCGTATTGAATGAATATCATAGTCAAATTCTTTGTGTCGCTTTGTTCCCACTCACTCACTTGCCCGTCATAGTCTGCGTACCAAATCTCGACTGTGTACTTTGCTCTTCTAAGATCATTTCCTGAACAAAAATTCTTTCAAGCAGGAATTCAAAACAGAAAGCAGTTCAAGCAATTAGAAGTACTGTCAAAAAATCAGACAGACAAAGGCCTCCTTACTACGACCATTCGAAAAAGTAATGAACGGGATTTTATAGTTTCATCTACGCCACATGAATGTTTCGAACAACCTATTATGAAAGTAAAAACTCGGTACGGAAATGTGGTTTTCAGAGTAGACTGGTTGTAGGTCCTGGCTCGAACCCCCGGTGGCGATGCATCGCATACCGATGTTGTCAATAGTTATCCCTAAAAATAGCGTCGAAGGTGAGGTTTTGGATTCCCGGTTACGGTAGCCGCGGGTCATCCATTGCCGCTTGTCGTGGGTATTCGGGAAGGAGTATCTTAACCTATCACCCTCCTCTGGTCATGTACATTGTCTTGTTCATTGTGCCGTATACGTGACAGAAATAGGAAGTGTGCCTCCAAAAATGTTACATAGTGAAACTAAATGTGTTAGCTGTGGAGTTCTGCGTCCATTGTATTGAAGCCACCCTAGGGCCTCGATACGAACCCGGTTCCCCTCCTGAATTTCCATTCCTGTGGGTTTTGTCGAAACTTGTGGCTAAGTATCGCTGTCCGTCTTCTGAGAGAACCAATTATTCCATCGATAGTGACGAGGTTTATATAACTGCTAGTTGTGTTTATACTCAACTTCTCTCTTGAGGTACAAAGAGCAAAGAGTGGACTCAAGTGTTTCCCGTGAACGATGAATTATTCAGGTCGAGTCTCACTACAAAGGAGGTCCATAAGCCATAATTGAAAATCCTCGTTTGACGGCTTCTTCCATATTAATTTCCGGCAAAGTTCTGCCTATTTGTCTGATGATTTACATCAACCAGAAAGCTAATTCCCAACGTTTGTTTCGAATAAATCCTATAAAATGACGTACCATCTCTATTAACTCCGTTTCGTGATTCCCTTTCGGTGCACGAGGTAGCCTTACTGTCTGTTTTAGTGAAGGTATTGTCTGCTCAGTTTGACTAAACAGTAATCTATTAGTTTGCTCTATTTAACACTTCGGTGGGAATTATATTTAAATGGTCACCAAGTTTGTTTTTCAGTTTGAGTAGCCTTTTTTCGAGCTTTCTCTTTTTGTGCTTCCTGAAAAGATCACGTACTGTTCACACGTTACTGTATCAAACAACCTTTTAATGTAACATTTTTTACTCAGACATTTTTCGAAGGTTCGTAGACAGTCTGGAAAGCTCGTAGTAGGTTAGTGGGTAGCTTTCTTCAATTCCTTTCGGTCTAAGCAACCTGAGTTATCCCACTCAGAATAACGAACCACCTAGGTGGGTGATTGTGTTGACCATTAAGGACGACGTCATTGACAATTTGGTACAAAGATCATGTACTGATACAGGAGTTTGGCCCCAAGGGTAGATGTATGGCTTAATCACCGCGAGGTACGGCCTGAAATCGGGGCTCAAGGTCTGTCAATGTATCTGCTGCTTTAGAAAGCCTCAATCATAAATACCATCAGTCGGTGTACCTGCCCACTTACAATGGAGGCTTCCATCGTTGGCCTTCAGTCCCCTATTACGCCCCGATTCGCGCCCCTTTAGCGGCAACAATGCACTGGGTCTACCTAACCATGAAGGGACCTTTCATTCTGTCTTTGTGCTGACCTTGTGCCAACCCTTAGAAGTACTAATTTTTTATTCCCTAAGTGCCGAATATATTTGCCTGTAGGATATATTTTGAAGTTTTGGAACTCTGAAAAGAAAGAACCTCGCTCGATGGAGTTTGAGAGTCTTGTGTTTTTGAGACCCCTCCGCGATTCTTGCCATGTGATGGTGGACGAGTACTATCCTCACACTGTAACATCAGCCTTTTTTAACATAGTAGGATTCATAATTGTCTCACCTAAAAGGGTTAATTACTCAGGTGAAAACCTTAGTCCTGAGAACAGATGAACCCATGAGGGAAACCGGCAAAGGTATTTTGATCGCATGAGAATTACGTAATGTGGCTGAGTTCCAAGCAGCTCCTCAGCCCAGCAGTACGGCCTTTCAGGTAATGCACTAGCAAGGGGTTGAAGGCACAGCTCATCGCGTTTATCAGTATCATGAGGGAGTCGTATCACAGGACGAGCGGTATTCCCCCATGTTCTGTTATCAAAGGAGTGTCATGTCAGAAGGTAGTCCTTTTTTGCGCCTCTGCTTCTCACTCGACTACGAGTTTTCCGATTTTCTGGACTTTTGGTGGTTACGCATACAAATGCTTCTTACGGATCCAGCAGATCTCTCATGCAGTGCTCCTCAGCTAAACGGACTCTTCGATGGGCTCCTAGATAACGGTTAGATGACAACGGCGGCATCTGATGACCTATTCGGGACATAGTAGACCTTATTAGTATGAATGTAGGTAGCTATAACGGATTCTCACTCTTCTTCATTACAGCAAAATAAAGAAGGATACCTGAGTAGGTTGCAATCTGCTGTCCACGAAAGACTCAACTGTTTCTGTTTTTGTTTTTTTCTAAACACCTAAGTTGACATCACATCCATATAAGTTACAGTAAGTAGAGTACCTTACTGCTTTTGTTTTTTCTGGCGAGTTTCATTACTTTTTTTCGTACACAACACAAAAACATCAGATTCCATAATTGAAGCAGGGGTACAAGATAGAAGACGGCACAGATCAATATTAAAAATCCATTCGTGAACTGGAAAACTGTATTTTACATCGGCACGTTATGATAGATGGTAGCTTTGGACACATAGAAGGATATACCTCATTGGCACCTATCATGAGTACGGGTAGACTAAAAATGAACCATCCCTCGCAATTCCAAGCGTTAAGGTAAAGACTGACTGTGCTGATATGGAGACCTGGCTATTTTTATTTGTAGCTCGCGGCTCGACTGCTTCAAAATCTCAAATCGAGGCTTCTCGCTAATGACTGTTCCGTTCATTATGGAGCGTTCACAGTCAGCGTCGCCCAGAAGGTTAGAACATCGCGAATTTGTCACAAACAACGACTCATTAACCACGGAACTGTAAGGATACATCAATTCGTTTTCTGTCTCCTTCATGGGTTCATAATCCATCTATTCTTCAGTCTACCTAATAAACTGTTAACGAATGAGCCATCCCGAAGCGACTGCATCATTCCCGAATATGTTTTTCTCATGAGCNTGAAGTATTCGAAAACATGCTATGATAAGGATAATCGTATCCATTTTGATCGGACGCTACACCTCAACACTCGAAACTTCATGGATTAAACAGCAGACGTCATGCACTTGGTCGCACTTTTCACTCTCCATTGCCTAATCTCTACACAAGGTAAGCCCAACTCGAGGTTCCTCACCTACCTATTCTCAGAGTGGACCAACCATCTTCAGCACCCCAATTTCCTATTGCCTTTCATGCTTCACCTTTCAACTATCGCCCATCGGCCACTACTGACTATGTACACAGGGCGCTGCTCAACGGTCTGCTCTTTTATCTTAACGACAATGGGAAAAGATGAATTCGCTGCTATTATAAAGGCCAACGAAACCAATTTATATTTGACAAATCTGAGTTATTAGAGATGGTGTCACAGATTAATGATTAGCACATACGTTAACCATGAATACTGGAAAGTTCTTCCGATCCCATAAAGAACGTCCATCAGAATAGCCCTATGATCTTGCCCAAACATTGCTAAACATGATGACCATGAGAGGGCTCAGACCAGCCGAAAAACTGGTCCGATAAAACTGTATTCAGTCACATTTTGGAAACGATTCTGAAAAAATGATCTTCAGTCTTATTCTATCTCTTTATCTCTGAAGTAGTCGTGGAAATAAACAGCATCGACAAGAAGTTTCAGCGCAAGCTGCTTCTTTGACTTCATCATGGACGGAAAGCGGTGAGGCACAGAAAGTTCCTGAGTTTGAAAATACTCCGTAAGGAATTTCAAATATATCAATTAATTGCACCCTCTTAAGATGGTGGGTATACTAGGATTACATGTTGACGGAAACGTTCAACGGGTAAAAACTTTCAGGACTATTTCGGCCATGGACAGCTTATTTAGTACAACCCTGACTGAGGAAAATAGCAAACAGAGGAAGGTGAGATAATTCCTAGCAATTACGTACGAATTCGCATGTCGTTGGTAGCTTAGCGTGATATACTGCCAGTTAATTACTCGGTTGTCTGTAAGTCGCGTTCGTAGTGTGCGTTTGACAAGTCTTTTTTTCTGGAATTCGAGCAAGGGATTTGTGAAAACTAGGTAGAGGAGAGGTGTAGCATGGGATGTTCAGTTACCCACAAATTTATTAGCATGACAAGAAGTGAAGCACAGCTCATTTGGCGTTTTTGAGCGCTTTTGACACAATAGCGTCAAGGGTCAAGCGCCGACGCTCGACGCGCTCGTGTAAACTGAGAATATGATTCTCCTAAAAGTAGAATGTCGGATACCTATAATTTCAGGGGAGTGGACCGAAGCCTCTAGTCTCTAATTTCGATATGGAAAAGTGGGACCAGCAAAATGGTGAGATAAAATCGAAGAAATATCATTGTGTCCTAGGATGGATGGGTTGCTCATGAACTTCCGGTTCGTACTACTGCACGGCTACTATGTAGTAGTACGAACCAGAAGTTAGAATTTACGACTTCGACTTTTGATCTTGTGCGCAATGATCAGCTCTGTCTCCCGGTAGATCATCTGACGTTATTCTTCCATTTCTGCTTCCCTCCACCTAGCGAGCGCACTCATCCATCCTCAAAGTGGCAAAATTGTGTATTTTTTTTATCTATTTTTTGGTTGTTACTGTATCTATTTGTTGCTACTACTTCAATAGCATATGAGTATGTCTCACTATCAGATTCCTAATCGTTTTATATTGTTTTAATTCGAGTTCGTGTAAGGGTGGAACTAGGAGGTCCTTCTCTAGTGTGCTCTGCTTCTATCACGTTAGGGGCTAAAGCGCAGCGGTGGATCGATAACTAGCTTAATCGACTTCAAGCAGTGAGAAGAAATAAGTATAATCAAGAAATATATTTTCTACTTGAGCCTAAACTAAGGAGGGACAGGGATCGGGAAGGATGCTGTGCTAATCATTTCCGGAAAGTTTCTGAGCGAAATTTAACAGTAACCTACTATCTCGATAAGAGAGCGCAGACAAGTATGCAAAAATAAGTAGCCCTCTACAATTCTATTTTCATCTTTTCTATTCTTTGTCTTCATTCTTTATGAATGCGAATAAGTCTCACTTCCTGACAATCGTTTCTGAATGTCTTTATTGCAGAGGTGGCCAGCAAACTTCGTTACGTTTGTGGTTTTTCAACAGTGATCATCGTAATTGTTGGCACTTCAGCTCTGGTTTACATTGTGCGAGTCACACTTCTTACAAGAAAACAATGCCGTGAGTTCCATCATACTTATATGTATGACTTTCGTTGGTGATTCTCAGTTTCAGAAGCCAGTTCGATGCATCGTCACTTTCAGCCAACTGCCGATCATCTAAGGACGGTCGACGAAGTCATAGATCAGTTCGGGGTGAGTGAATCAGTAGAAGTTGCTCCTTCTCTCAAAACAACTGACTCGCTCAGCTCTGTAAAATATCTAGCCGACTCTTAATTTTGGATTCGTCGGTGTACCGATGAGGTTTTTACAGACGGGAGGCTTTCAAGCAAGCAAACAAGGACAACCGATCGAAACGAATGTTGTTGGTTGAAAAGATTGTATTATATCAATAAAATCTTTTTTTGATAAGGATCACAGGGTCAAATAGGCAGGTGTCCATTGGTCCTCCTAGGCTGCGCCATGGGCTCCATGGGATCTCCTCATAGAATGAATTTGAGGTCCCTTCGTATACCATATCTGGCGCTATTCAGTCGGAAAACAATCTAGTTAGGAAGTATAAAGGCTAAAANCTCGGACGAGTTTCACCGGCATTGTGGAGGCTGCACTGACCATAAGGGAACTGATGTAGGAGGTTCGAACAATTTGTCATTACCCATAGCAACAGTGAAAGGCAGCTCTGTACACTTCTGGCTTGACGTAGTCAGTTCTTTGCGCAATTCCAACGACTGAAATCTCGTCCGAATACCCTTCCATGTTAATTCCGTCACGGTAATCTCGTCCAACCTCTATTTTCCTTACTTCAAAGAACCTTATTTTTCTCACGCTCTCGCTTCCTTCACTACCGATGAACTATTCCCAACCCATACTTCCGTTTTTCCAATAAAAACGGGTACCTCGAAATTATTGTGAACAGTGCCTTTAGGATCAAATCTTCCAATCCGCTCTGAACCTTTTCCGTACCGACCCTAGTGTTTTTATTTTGTTTATTGCTTCTCTGTTCAACATTTAGAGGTCTGGTTTAAACGTTTTGAAAGCCGCTTATACAGTACCCCTGGGTCGGTCTCCTTCGCAGTGCACATTTCCCACACTGGTCAACCCCTCTCCCGCTTCCGTCCAGGGCGAATCTATCGTGACTCTTTGAGTTCAAATGAGAATCAAACATATGTATCATATATTAAAGACATGATCACTGTTAACTATATTTATTAATAACAGTTAACAAGTTTGATTCGTGCAAGCTCCATATGTGTTCACGGCCCCTAAACGATATGTGTCAGAAAGTGATGTCAGCAAAACCATCACTCTGAAATTTCAGAACAATTTCGAAGCAATTGTCGGGCACGTAATGGGTAAAATTGCAATTTCACTCACTTCATCTTCGGCGAGGAATTTCTCCTATAAAAAAGACCCTTATGCTCGT